AAATCAAAGCATTCATTGGGAAGTTCCCCTCGGTATCGAAAAGGTGCAAAGTAAAAATCTCAGCTCTCAAAAAAATAATTTTTTAATTAGTGAAAAACTTCAATATTAAAGTGGAAAACTGAAGTAAAAGTTTCATAAAGTTTAGCACCTATACATTTCTGGTGTGCTTCATTATGATGCCACCTAATATTTAAGCAAAAAGTCAATTTTAAATTTTAAAAAAAAAAATCACTCGTGGTTTTGCTTTTTCCTTCAATGATGGGCAAAAATTGTTTTACCTGTTTCAATTCTATTTAATAAAAAACAGTGCAAATCAATGAAAGCCAATGAAAGTTCTAATCTCAATAAATAAATTCAATTATCAAAATAATAAAGAATAAGTTAATTTAAGTTATTTTGAAATATATTTTTGAATTTTCAGAGAAAGTCTAGTGAACAATAGAAGAAAGAAACGGAATGTTGATATAAAAACGTGGAAAAAAAACTGATAACAATTCGTGGAAATATAGAACATTGAAGATGTTACGCACATGTGTCATTCTCTCTCTTGTAAATTTTATCTTAATCTATGTCCAAGAGGAATTTTAAGCAAAAATTTTCAATTTCAAATTTAATTGTTTTAAATTATAATTTCTTCAAATATGGCCAGGACAACTTTTGTCTTAAACTAAAAATTTTATTCGAAAAATAATATTTATATATCTACTATTAAAAAATAATATTATTAAAATATTTGCTTTGCAAACAAAAATGAGGAGTCAAGCAAATATAGAACAATGCAATGAATAAACAAAATTGCACATCCTCTTTCCCTCTCACTCTCTAAATCTCTCTAAATCTCTTCTCCTTTTATATCTCATTCCTTAAAACCGTGAAAAAAACAGACGCGTGTTAAAATATATGAATTATTAGATATTGTTATTATTTTAATATGTATCAAACATATCAAATATTTAACATTAATATATTTCTTTCTACAATATTAACAAATGACCACCTAGAATTTTCGCAGGTTAACTGAAGTTTCCATCATCATGGGAACATCAGTCGGGTGTGGTACGAGTTTACTTCTCGCACTATTTCCATTTTGGAGATAAGTGTCGAGAAGAAAATAAAAACTCATCATAGGCAAGTTTGAAACTTGCTGAGAACAGTTCGTTCTACCCATTATTGATGATGATGATGATGATGAAGCATTCATTGGTCCGTGGTCTGTTGTGATCCGCACCAGATGAGATGTCCGCTTCTGGTCCGTTTATTTGGCGCAGACCAGGAAAAAGATGCGGACCAAATCTCTCATTAAAATGTCTATTTCAAGAGTGTTATCTTTTAAAAATGTCATATTTAACTTGTTTCTTTGACGAATAATGATAAACTGATTCATTGTGCATACGTTTTTCTTGCATTCTCTCGAAGAACAAGAATTTGATAAGAGATGAAAATTTGCAAAGTAGGATTGGAGGAAGTAATTTCTCCTGAAAGTTCACTGTAAAAATAAATGCATCGATAATGATATAGGTATATGAATGAAAGACTGTCTAAAGAATGTTCAAGACTAAATTTTTATTCTGGTATTTTTCTTCAAATCCTTAATTTTGCTTATGGTACAATTTTGCTTACTATTTTATTTGCTTATTTATTATTTATTTGCTTACTATATAATTATATTACTTATTATTATATAATAATAACTCCAGGTAATTATATTATAGTTTTGCAACAAAATTTCCGGTACGCATAGAGTATGCAAAAATCATCGATTCTATTTATTTATATTCTTTAGTTTTTTTAATCACGGGATTGAAAAGATTATTGATGCATTTTGTAATGCATTAATCTTCCATTTATCTATTTTGAAACATTAGTGGATCTTTATTTTTTATTTCAGCGCCTTCTCCTGAACCACTTTGGGTAAATGCTGTTGTTGGAGCAATCCCTGAAGGAGCTTTCAATGGAGGCTATGATAATGGAATAAATCTTATCCTTTGTAGAGCTCTTCATGAGGGCGTATTGATTCCTGGAAAATTTATTCCAACATATGGTTGCCATGTTGGTTTGGGTGGTACCGAATACGAAAAAAAAGAATTCGAAGTATACGTTGGATCCGGTAGCTGGGTTGCTGGAGCTGGATCAAATATTCCACCAAATGCTGTGCTTGGTAATTATCAAAACACTTCAAATTATCATCGAGAAAATATTTTTAATTTTGTTTTTAATCAGGTGTTGAACCCGAAGATGGTGGTCCTGTTTACGTTTGTCGTGCCAATCACGTAGGAAGTGTCACCATTGGAAAATTGAGTACACAAGGTGTATGCTACATCCCACATGGTTGGCAGGAGCATAGCTACACTGATTTTGAAGTTCTCACTTCTTAAAGAAATCTTTGACTTCTGAAGCTTTCTTTCTTAAATTCCATTTTTATGCAATCTTTCAAAGCTTTTTATCTTTGTACGATACAAGTAAAATTATATTATATATTTGTCTTTGTCATTGCTACATTCTTAATAGTTCAAATAAATGGAAAAGAAAAAAGAAATTTATTGTTAATTAGGTCATTATGTAGTTAAAGGATCTGTATAGTTAATTATAAGATCAACTTTCTGTTTTATATTTCTGCTTATTGTTATTCGTGAACCATTCCACAGATGAAAGCCTTTAGCATTATCATCGACACTTAAGAATTTCATGACTTAAAATAGTGTAAATGTAATGAAACGTAATCTTAAAAGAAAATGCGTTTTGAAAACTTACATAACACTATTCTTTGGAAAAGTTTAAATTCTTTTGGCGTCACAAAATCTAAATCAACTAGGTATGTATTAGTGACAGTTTTAGTTCTACAGGCTTCAACCATTATTTCAGTTCTGTTTTCACTGCATCAGATATAGATTCCTTTTGCGATTCAACGATTGAGAACGTCACGAATGATTTTATGAAATGAACGTTTCATACTTGAATGACTTTTGCTCCCGTTTAACGTTGTACAAATAACTTTATGATGGGTTGTGTAATATAATTGTGAATAAATTACTTCTAGAAATTAATTTACTTCTAGATGAACTTGAAAGCTTTCACCCAAACTTACTACCAAGCAACTTTGAAATCGAATAGTTTTTTACTCATTTAAATGTCTTGTTCGAGTCTCTCATCACGTTTTTATGTCGAGAAGCACGTTAATTACATTTCCATCAACGCTATTCTTTATCAACGTTAAACATACAAATACTTGTATTCAAATATGTAAATCGAAAAAATTTTCGCCAAAATCCATAGGACTGAAGTGACCTGTCGAGCAAGTAAAAACAGTTTGTATTGCCTTTAGAGTGTTCTTCAGTGCTGGCCCTAAAGATGTCGATGACGATTAAATTATAGGATTTCTAATTTTTTGTATTTTTATAAGATTCAACATATTTGTTTATATTATAAAGTTGATCACACAATCATCGTCTATGTTGTAAACCTTGATGGTGAATGTGTTGATTACTAGATCATAATAATATGTAGATAATTTAGCAACTTTTCAGCTTTCTAAATTCAACAGTTAGTTATCCAAAAAGCTCAACCATATTTATTTCTATCATGGGCTTTTTACTAAAACAAATTGAAAAGAGAATGCTTTTAAACATCGATTTTTTAAAAACTATTGTAATGTGAAACTGTATCCGCCTTTGGTAGGCCTAAATGTAATTTATCATTGAAGCTGGAAAGTGTTGTCATTGTCATTTACCTCTAAAGAACATTGTCAAGAACATTTTAAATAAGGTGATTCAGTAAAGTTGCTCTTTAACTGAGTTTCATGGAAAAGTTTCTTCAACACTGTATGAAAACAGCAATAAATTATATAAAAATTATATAAATTTAAAAATATTTGGTTTTGCATGACATCTTTCGGCGTATTAAGCCGAAATTTTCCATTCGATCATTCTCGAAAGTTCTATTGTGTTTTCGTTTTATTTGTTTTATCTGGTGGAATGATCACTTCAAACATTCATCGTATGACTTATGTTGGAAAAGTTTGCTCATTAAGTTTTTTATAAAACCACATTTTATTTGCTATATGATACCTCATATCACACGTAAAGACAAAAACAAATAATAGATTTCGAATGATATTGAGAGAATTAGGCTTTGACGACAAAAACTTTGAACAAGTGCTGAGTACAATGTACGAATTTTACGTATTCTTATTCATACAAAATGAAACCTTCAGACAAATTCCACATTTATACAACTACACAAGCCGATAGTTGATGATAAGAATAATACTTCGCAGTTCATCTTACAACACTTGTTCAAAGCTTCGTTCTTTTCTGTCAATACGAAAGTTAAGCGATACTTTCAATAATGTTAAAACTAAGTGTTGAAATATCGAAAAAATATTTATCTTTTCATTCTGATCTTCAAATTTTCTTTACAGATAATGACAGAGTTTTCATAATGTTTTGATGCATTTATAAAAATTATTCTGAAGCTTTACAGACTAAAGATTTTTTGATTTTAGTTCTTCAACCGACTTGTTTTGAATACTTACTTTGTTCATCTTCAAAGAATTTGATATGAGATGAAAATTTGCAAAGTAGGAGGGAGAGATAAGATAGCAAATGCACATTTTTTTGTTAATTGTTGTTATTTTTTCTACATTTTTGTTAACTAACTAAACGAAAGAAGAAGTAATTTAAAAAAAGTAACTTCTGGGGCCAAACAAGGAAGTGTTCTCGGGCCATTGTTATTCATTACATTTATTAATGATCTTAAACTTAAAAGCAAGCCACAAAACTATAAAGAACTCAAAGAAAATATGGAGACTGGTATGTCGACATTTGATAACTATCTCAGATCTTTATGTTTGAAAATGTCTGTTCCAAAAACGAAATTCATTATATTTAGTAGCTCCAATGCTCTCACAGAAAAATGTTTTAATGAAATCCAATTTGTTGAAAATAAAATAAATAGTGTTGATGAATTTAAATATCTGGGACTGGATACATCTAAATTTTTCTTTGAGTTGAAAAATTCATATCATATAATGATGAAATTATATTACGCATTAAAATATATGAACCCTTATTGCATCCTCTTACGGGATAAAATTGATCCACATCAATGGGTATTCTTCTTATGAACATTTTTTTCACACACAGTTATTAAATCCGATGGACAGGAATATTGATCGATTTTTAATTTTGACCGCTGCAGCCCGCTATAGAAAAGAAAAGTTTCCAATGCACTGTGCAATGATTTGATGATGATCAACCAACATAATTTTAAAAGTCGCCAACATACCTTTAATGAATTCAGAAATTTTTTAAAGACTTAAATAAACTTTTTCGATGTGTGAAATTAAATATACAGCTATTCACCCTCATTAATATTCCTAAGGGGAATTTATCCAAATACACAAATTTATCAAGTATATAAACTATCTGATGTCGTTAAATGAGTTCAGTTTACAGTTTTCCGTCTTACGCTGAGGGTAATCTTTGAGGAAATGAAACTGCTATTTTGGATTGTTATGTTGGTAATCGTAATATCTGGTGAGTTTCATCTTTTGATTTTATTAAGAGTTAGATTCTAATTGAAACATTTCCAAAGTTTTCGCAGAAGAAATGAAAATATGTCCATGGAAACAGTGTCCTGACGGTAAAGTTTTGAACATGGTTTCTTGTGAATGCGGATGTATTCATTCCTTTGCAGATAAAAGCAAAATTGCTAAGATTTTAGGCAAGATATGAACTAATAGATATTTAAATTGTGCTTTATAATATGTCAATTTTAAAGAATGAACAATAAACTATTCCCAATAATCATTTATTCAGTTGAACATTGTTTAATTTTTTTTATTTAACTCTCTAAAAGTTACTAATAAAATGCTTGTTTTAAAATTTTATTCTGCCTATTAAGCCAATTTTTCTGTTACTTATCAAAGTTCCAAACAATTTGAGTATGCAGATTGTTTGAATCTGAACAGAAATTTTGCAGAAAAGAAATTTTATCATTCAACCATGAAAAGTAACAAAAAATATTCGTATTGTAATTCCAAATATTCATCAATAAAGACTCAATTTTCATTATGTTCGAAATGAAACTTTCAATACATCTAGATACTTAGACGGTTTATCAAAATGATGCTTACTTAATATTAAATATTTTGTATATGAATTTGGAGATGATCTTCAATACGTCTCACCATATAAAATTCCAGAGCAATAAGGAGGGGGAAGGCATGATGATGGAAACTTCAGGTAACATTGGATTGACTCGCTTGAATTTATTAAAACTAAATTTACAAAAAACTAGTTTTCTAGCAAATTATTATTACAAGACCAGTTTACAATTTTTTAAGCAATAAAATAAAGAGCTCCTTAACAGATTCCTGGAAACCTCATACTAGATCTTATGATGATGGTGCTTAATATTCCCTGAGGGGATGAACGAGTCTGATGACAAGGCTTATAAAAATCAGCAATTTAGACTAATTAAGTAATCCGCCATTTTCATTACAATCATTATCATAAAAGGACTAAAAAGAAAGCCAAAATACTTTACTGGAAGGAATCAAAGAAATAATTTCAACAGTTTCAATTATGCTTTACAAATACTAATCATTCGAATTAGTAATTGACAATAATAATTTTCATATTCATGAGTGAATATTTACATAAAGAACTCATTTGTTTGAAAATTTTCATAATTCCAAAAAATAATCTTAAGTTCTTTTATGTTTTATTTTCCACTTCATATAAAAAATGAGGGGAAATTACTCCTATAGAACATGCCATTTTAAATGCTGAATGATGATAAAAATATTCACGTCATTTATTTTTTTTATACATAAGTAAGCACCGGCATGTGTTTTAATTTTGTAGAAGACAATTGAAATTTGTTCATGAATCATATCATATTTTTCGTTCACCAATACTACAATTATGTTGAATGGATATTACTCGAGCGGCACAAGCTTTCAGCTTGAATTCCTATAGCTTGTCTTCAGCAGATTTCGTGAGATTCTGCCCTGTAGCGTTGAAAAAACGTCCTACCCGCATCCGTGAAGGAAAATTAAGCGGTTTTCAAGGCATTTTTGGCGGAATCTCCGCTTGTGCCGCTCGGGTTATTTGGGCATTATTTTAATGTTTATTTCATAAGTAAAAATAGCAATTAAGATCTATAGTTAAAGCACATCCGAAATAAGAATGTTTCAATTGAAACATACATTTAATAACTAATGAGCTTCAACTGATATGATAGATAAGCCAACAAGAAACATATAGTTGTAGTGGAAAATGTTTTAAGGATGCCCACACATTCATCACATTATACAATTGTCTCGTTAGAAGCAATCTGGAATAAACATCAGTAATTTGGAATACTCATACGCTCGCTCAAACTCACAAAATTGAAAGAATTCAACATAAATTTCTACGATTTCTTGCCTTTAAATGTTTCAATCAACAACATGAAGAACTCAGCTATTTGGAAATAGAAAACGATCCAATTTAGACACTTTGGGAATGAGAAGATGTTTTACCGACATGAAGTTCATGACAAAATCATTCAATAACATCATTGAGTCACAAACTTACCTGCCACACTTTAATTCAATGCCGATCACAACAACAAGAAATCAAAACGTTTTTAAAACACTTTCAAGTAAAACAGATACTGGAAAGTTTTCTCTCTTCAATAGACTTATGTATGAGTCTATTCAACAAAACACAAACCAATGATAACTGGCTAAAAAATCAACCGAGTGACAGTCTAATTAAAAAAATTAGTCGATTAAAAAATTTAGACTGATCAGATTGAGTTTTTTTCTACGCTGCTGGAATGTAAATTGGAGGATGGAGTAACATGGAGCTTGCCTCCAGGTTGCATTAACCAGCAGTCTTTTTCTCAATCAAATGTAAAATTTTAATGTTAAAAAATATTAAGAATATTGACAAACTTAAAATATCATTAAGTAACTAAACTGATTTCTAATCTCAAATAACGATGATTAAAAAATACATACATGCTCATTTACGTTATCGATAAACAAATCAACTCATTAAGAACACTTGATTTATAAAATCATTTAAAAAGTATGTACAAATCAAAGATCTGCTGCAACTCAAGGGCAAAGCCTGTCAATGTAGCATAAATGCAAAAATAAAATAAAATAAAGATAATAAATTGATGAGAGTTTTCAAAATACCATAATTTCAAGTTATTTGTGAGCTCGTCAACATTTGGTGAAATAAAAAATTTTAATTTCGTAATATGAGGAACGTTATTTGATACTTTGTTCTTCAATAAATTCAAATGCGCTATGTGAATGCCATGAATGTTTTCAGATTTTAGTAAGGTATTTTTCCCTATGATATTACAGTCAGTAAAGTTAACTACAGCGGCGTCATTGTAAATAATTAGTGAATTTTGATGTGTACACGTCATGTTGAAACTGTCGGCTTTTCCATTGATGAGTACTGCTAAATTCTTTTCAACCTGCAACAACTTCTGCTCGATTCCGACATCAGTAAACTTCTCTAAACATTTATTTTAATTTTCTCCTTGCAAAATAAACTGCAGGCATTCGTCTAATTTTTCTAAATCAACGTCAAAGACTCCAAGATGATTTTGAACTGGCGGTGACAAAAACCCTGTGCTGTCCTTCAACTCATCCTAGCAATACTGTTTTACTTCTTCTTTGGGTTCTATTTCCGCACAAGTACGTCTTAATTTGTCAATTGACTTTGTCACAATCTCTTCGTCTAACGAAACGTTAAATGGTGTAAAAATGCCATTTATGGTTTTCAGTAATCAATTCAAAATACCAAATATTGCGCTTTACATGATTTTTTATTAACAAAAGTTTTCAGTAATATTTTTTTACATTTAATAAAAACCTTAGTTAGATACTTTGAAATGAGGCAATTTCTTTTGAAGTAAAAATTATTAAAAAAGTATGTTGTTAACCAGTTAGAAAAAATTTGTAGTCAATCAAAATATGTCAAAGCACTAACAATAATCATATTTATAAAAGGATTTTCAAAATTCGTCGTGCTTCCACTGCAAGAGAAATATTTCTTTTGCTTTTCTCGAAAAGTGATTATTTCCTCTTCGCTGTGTTTATTATCTTGAGAATTGTACAATCTCGAATAATTCTAACGCAAAAAAGTGGGAGCTTCATCAGTTAATAAGACTTACATTGTTGCTTAGCATATATCCTAGGTAGGTATTGAGTTCCAACACAAGTTTCATATAAAGACTTTTTTTTTTACATATACTAGCAAATTGAATATCTTAAATATTTTATTAAGTTTTCTACTAATATTCATGTAGAAAATTAGTAGAATACTCTTATAAAATATTTAAGATATTCAATTTGCTAGTATATGCAAAAATAGTGTCTTTATATGAAACATGGGTTGAAACTTAATACCTAAGATATATGCTAATAAGCATCAATGTGAGTCTTATTAACTGATGAAGCTCCCACTTTTTTTACGTTAAAAAAATTTACGTTATAAAAATTTATAATTTTTATGTGAATCCAACACGTTGGTCCCTCCCCCGAAGACCGTAAATATTTTTTTAGAGTATTCTACTAATATTCTACTAAAATTCATTTGTATTAGATGTATTCAAGCTTATTTTTATTATAAAAGCAGATACGGAATTCATCCTTTTCAGTCAAACTTGTACTGTGAAGAATAAAACTTTAAATATGAAGATTATTCTTTTCATATTTACATCATCGATAATAGCTTTAGCTTCAGGTTTCTCCATATTTCAATATATATCGAAGAGAATATTAAGTGATTTTTTTCTTAAAAATAGGTGATGGACATTTGAAATGTAGAAGAGTAGCGCCAAAGTGTGTCTACAATAAGGATTGTGACATCATTTGTAGCATGGTTACCTATGCTCCTGATTATGTTTGTGGAAAAAATTCCGAACCTGAAATACTTGATGATCCAAATGGAGAGATAATGATTTGTTGCAGGGATATAAGTGGAAATGGTAAAATTCAGATTATTAATTAGAAAATTAGTTAGAAAAAATTAAAATTACAATTTTATTAAATTTCTTCTTTTTTGTATTTTAATGATTTATAACTTTGTTAGTAAAATTCAACCCGAATACTTCAACTGACAGCCCAATTACAGAAGTTCATCGAGATGGTTTTACTCGTCCCTCTCGAACTCTTGATTAGTGGGAAAGACAGTGTTTCGTTTTCAGTGCAGTTCCATAGAGCCTATTTTCAGTATGATCTCGCTCGTTGTTCTTCTTAATTTGCATGCATATTAAATTGATGCAAAGGGATTTCAAAACTGTTTATCTCTAGATATCGCTCTCCTGTTAGCAAAAAACATTAAATATCAAGCCGAAGTATCCAAAATTCTTAAAATCACATTATAATTTATTGCTCATGCCAGGACTTGAACTTGGGACTGCAAGAGTACACTTAAAACTGATTCCGACATCTGAAAACTAGACCAATGAGGAAGATTAGCTTGATAATTATTATAACCTTACTTTTATTATTTACTTTATCACAGAGCCAGAATGTATACCTTCAGCGGCTCTCACTGATCCACCAACGGAACCAGCTACTGATGCACCAACGCAAGCACCCACTGCTGCACCAACGCAAGCACCCACTGCTGCACCAACGCAAGCACCTACTGCTGCACCAACGCAAGCACCTACTGCTGCACCAACGCAAGCACCTACTGCTGCACCTACTGCTGCACCAACGCAAGCACCCACTGCTGCACCAACGCAAGCACCCACTGCTGCACCAACGCAAGCACCTACTGCTGCACCAACGCAAGCACCCACCTCAAACTGGGTTAATGGTGTTGGTTTAACAATCCCTGAAGGAGCTATTGTTGGAGGCAATGATGGAGTAACTTTTACGATTTGTAGAGCTCATCATGCGGGTGTATTGATTCCTGGAAAATATGCTGCATCAGTTGGTACTTGCTTTGTTGCTTTGGGTGGTAAGGAACATACAACATCTGAATTCGAAGTATACGTTGGATCCGGTAGTTGGGTAGCTGGAGCTGGATCGAATATTCCACCAAATGCTTTGCTTGGTAATTTTCAAAACACTTCAAACTATCATCGATAAATTATATTTAATTTTGTTTTTAATTAGGTGTTGAACCTGAAGATGGTGGTCCTGTTTATGTTTGCCGTGTCAATCATTTAGGAACTGTCACCATTGGAAAATTGAGTACACAAGGTGTATGCTAGATCCCATATGGTGTACAAGAGCATAGCTACACTGATTTTGAAGTTTTTACTTCTTAAAGAAATCTTTGACTTCTGAAGCTTTCTTTCTTAAATTCCATTTTTATGCAATCTTTCAAAGCTTTTTATCTTTGTACGATACAAGTAAAATTATATTATATATTTGTCTTTGTCATTGCTACATTCTTAATAGTTCAAATAAATGGAAAAGAAAAAAGAAATTTATTGTTAATTAGGTCATTATGTAGTTAAAGGATCTGTATAGTTAATTATAAGATCAACTTTCTGTTTTATATTTCTGCTTATTGTTATTCGTGAACCATTCCACAGATGAAAGCCTTTAGCATTATCATCGACACTTAAGAATTTCATGACTTAAAATAGTGTAAATGTAATGAAACGTAATCTTAAAAGAAAATGCGTTTTGAAAACTTACATAACACTATTCTTTGGAAAAGTTTAAATTCTTTTGGCGTCACAAAATCTAAATCAACTAGGTATGTTTTAGTGACAGTTTTAGTTCTACAGGCTTCAACCATTATTTCAGTTCTGTTTTCACTGCATCAGATATAGATTCCTTTTGCGATTCAACGATTGAGAACGTCACGAATGATTTTATGAAATGAACGTTTCATACTTGAATGACTTTTGCTCCCGTTTAACGTTGTACAAATAACTTTATGATGGGTTGTGTAATATAATTGTG